TAGTATGTTGGAGCAAAGTGAGGGAGGGCACGTGCCCCCTCTGGGCCTTAATTGGCTCCGCCCCTGCCAATAATAAAATTGTCATCAAAGTTGCGCGTAGCTAATCTAATCTCCGCCAACGAGAAGTGTTGGCAGAGATAGACGGCAGTGATGATACAGTATTAGTTGAGTCGGCTGACCTTTGGTGGACTGGGACCCACGATGACTTGGTCACTGTCGTACCAAAATCTCGCAAAACTGACATTCCTGTTAATCAAGATGAATTCATCAGCAATTGCCAATGAGGTGGATTTAGGGTTGCAAATGAGCCGAGTCGAGCCGAGTTTTAACTTGTCAGACTCGCCTCATCTAAGATAGAGGAGTGTTCGGACTTGCCTCGAGCTCTACTCGCCAATTTTTTAACCAGCCGCTCAAGCTCGTGTATCCATATAGATATATATATATATATATAGACATCAAATTAGGGGTGGCAAACGGGAGAATTGGGTTGAGTTTGGGTAGGGTCTAATATGGGCTGGTTAAATATGAGTTATGATCCATATTCAACCCGCTTGTAACGGGTTAAATATGAGTTTGGTCAAAATAAGCTGGGTCAACCGTCATGACCTGTTAACTCGTTTTAAGGGGAAAAAAATGTAATTATTTTTTATATTCTCATTATTATAGTTCTAAATTTTATATGGATAAAAACTTGTAAAAATATGTATGGATAATTGTAAATCCTCTAATTTATTTTGAAAATTCTTTAAATTTATATTATTTTATTTTATTTTATGATTAGACATGCACGAAGGTAAATGTTATTTTATTTTAATTTTTTATTTTGGTGCATTAGATAAACTAAAAAAGAATATTGATACAACTCTAACACGTCTTCCCATAAAATCCTTTAGGTAAGAAAACAGAGCAGATATAATATACAATACAATGTGTTGTGGATATAGCTGAGTAATACTATAGTATTCCAAAGAATTTTAGAGAGAGAGAGAGAGGATGATGCGAGAGAATCTTAGACAGAGAATGGGAGAGAGAGATTTTGGGATCGTGTGGGAGAATTTTAGAGAGGGAGAAGAGGTGAATTTGAGTCAAATATAAGGTGTGAAACTGAGTTTCTTATATAATGGGTGAAATGTGGGTCAAAATGGGTGACCCATATTTTAAAATGATTCACCCATATTCATTTTAAAGCTAATGGATATGGACGGATTGGTGGGTCATGACCCATTTTACCACCCCTAGATCAGATGAATTGAAAGAATATGATAATGGCACCATCATCTCCTTCAAATTAGTTTTTCGTGTTCCACCATTAATCACTAATTTTCTATAATCTTCATCAGCTTCAAATGCAACTAGGTTTCTTTGATAGTTTGATTTTGCTGGAGGAATGTCAGTATTGTCTTCTCTATTCTTCATCATCAAACCAGAATAGCAAGAAGCATATATGAGGGGATATATGTAAAGAGAGAGAACAAAAAAAATATTGATTTTCCAGTGGATTAGAAGCAAAGGCGAGGCGAGGCGAGGCGAGGCGAGGCTATGCAAACTGGAAAGTTTAGATCACTTGCCACTTGTGCGGCTACGCTTAGGGTTTTCTAATCTAACCCATAAAATTGTAAAAGGAATCTAATGCCTACTAATGAGATAAATTATGACTTGGGCCATTAAATGGACTTCATGTATAAGATGGGCTTGTAGATAGCCATGTATTAATTGGGCCCATGAAATATAACTGTTAACTTGGGCTAAATTTTTATATTGGGTTAGGTTGTTAAATATAAAAAATTAAATATAATGCATTTTATTTAAACGAGCTTGTTCACGAGCTTCACGGCCGAGCGTGGTAGTGCTCAAGCTTGGCTCGTTTATTAAACAAGCTCGAAATTTATGCTCAAGTTTGGCTCATTTAGTTGACGGACAATTCCGAGCTGAGTTTTTAATGAACCGAGCCCGAGCTAAGCTGTTCATGAACAGCTCAGTTTATTTGCAACCCTAGATGGACTAATATTTCTTTGGGTGGACTAATAGTAGTATTAATTTTTTTTTTTTGGATTGGGCTAAAACTAGGTATAGTATTGGAATAGTTGGAGGGGGGAGGGGGGTTGATTTTATTTTTTAAAAATATAATACAATTGATTTCTTAAATTTTAATTACATAATTTTATTTTAGCCTCCAAACCCTTATTCTTGGCTCCGCCTTGCCTATATTCAAATTCAAATTATCTATATCTATACTTATTATTAAAAGTACAAAGAATTTCAGTATATTATTGTGTTTCACTATATTAAAGTGTTTTCAGTATATTATTTATTTTTATAATAAATGAATAATAAATTTACCTTCCTTTTGGAATCCACCTTCTTTATAATATTAATATACTTTATAATACTAATAATAATACTACAGTTGTACGAAATATTGAAATTCAAAAAAGGATAATACTAATAATAATACTATAGTTGTACGAAATATTGAAATTGGGTTAAGTACAAAAAAAACCTTTCTACTATCGATATAGTACAAATAGGTCCTTATGGTATAAAACTCCCTTATACTATTAATTTGATGCAAATAGGTTCCTGTGTGGTATAAAATGACTGTAATACCCTCACTGAAGTTGAATAAATTAATAACTATAAATACAGGCCATGTAAAATGACATTTTTATTCAATTTGTGTATATTTGTGTTTATTTGGGACAAGAATAAAATAAACCTTAAATTGTATAAAATCGGGATAAACTAAACCAAAGAAACCTAAAACTGAATATAATAAAAACCGAAACCAAACACTTCATCATAATAAAGATGGGGTATACCGATGGTGCAACCAAGGTGGAAAATCACCTCCTGTGAAATACTGCAACCATTTGCTCCATTTTTGTGAATGAACAATACTTACCATGGTGGGCAAAAAATTGAATTTGCTTTATACATAATTTTTGTATATATATATATATATATATATATATATATATATATATATATATATACACTATTCAAATATACTCTTATTTCCTCCCTTATTCTTCTTCCCTCCTTTCTTTTTTTTTCAGCAACCCATTTGAAATAAATTTGAAATCCGCTACCCAGCTACCCTTCTACTCTCCCAAAATATCAATCAACTCAGTTTATAATTTGATTTCTTTCCAAATAGATTTAATTTCTCCAAATCGAAGCAAGAGGTACGATTTCTTTGTTTCTGCCATTCTTATGGAAATAAGAGGATTTCCCTTCTTCCCTTCTTCCCTTCTTCTTCTTCGTTTTCCCTTCCCTTCTACTCTTCATCTTTGTTTATTCGAAATTCAAACTCTAACCCTTAGACCTACGTTCTCCTTTCTTTTTTGCCTCAGACCTTCATTCTTCCCTTCTTCTTCTTCGCCTCAGACCGTCGTTGGTACTATTTCCTTCTTCCCTTTTAGAGAGAGAAAGGAAGGCAGCCGTGGGTAACTTTTAGAGAGAGAAAGGGAGACAGCTGTGCGTAACGTATTTTAGAAATAATATTTAAAGTTTATATATATATATATGAAATACAGTATTTAAAGGGGTGGTAAAATTAGTTACCCAATTTTTTTAATTGATGTGGCACATTCTCAACCACTTATTTCAAATGGAGCAAATGGTGAGGTGATCCTGGTCCACCAACTGGTTGCACTATACAATATGAAATATAGTATTTAAAGCCGTGCAACCAAGGCCTTATTCCAGCAACTGTCTGTTTCACACCCCAATGCTTCACCCATCTGATTAGAAGACTTAATGGGAATGCCTTCTCTATACACAATGAAATCCTCATACACTTATTTGGGGAAGAAAATCGCCATATCTTCTCAAAACTTTATTACTTGATGTAGAAGATCGAATGCTTTCTTGGTTTTTTTGGTGTGACAGCTTCAAGGAAGAGATTTATGCAATCTTGTACCATTGTCTCCCCACTTACTATTCAAATAAGTAAACCCTGATTCCATCCCCGTGAATTCCCCACCTCTGCTACAATAGCATTCTAGCCGTATAATTGTTTGTGCCTTAGATCAAACTGTGTTGGACAATTAACATGAATTTTCTAAATAATTTTTAATATAATATATGTAATTATTATTTATTCCAATTATCATGGATTATGCCAGAATCCAGACCTGTTGAAATTTTATACATTCCTTTCATAAGATTAATGTGTGTGTGTGTATATATATATATATTAAAAACCACAAAATAATTGTTTAAAAAACAAACTGATATAGGAAAACAAATATTGAGAAAAGGCCTCAGAGATCTTGGTGGATACAAAATCGTCAGATGGATTCAGGAGGAAGCCAATCAAGAGTAGCAAATATCAATATCACATCACCAGCCGCAAATATATATATTTTCTTTCAATATTAAATCCATAACCAAATAATTTATTTATTTAACTAAAAAAATATAAACTATATAATCAATACATACATATATGTATACGTGTGTGTGTATATATATATATATATATAAGAATGAGGAGATTGAAGATCCATGATGAGTCAGAAGTAGTTGGTTGTAAGATCATGGTAAATCATTAATATACGACTTTGCTCAGTGGCAGCACAAGCGCCGGAAGGAGGACTAACCCTAGAGAGAGAGGGAGGAGAGAGAGGGGCGAGGAAATGGGTACAGGGGGAGTTATATGCACATATAGGGGCGAGGAAATGGGTACTGGGGGAGTTATATGCACATATAGGTGAAAGGCAAAATGGGAATCAAAAGGGTAAAATAGGATTTTCATATTTACTTTTTGTCAAAAAAATGGTAAGAGGAACTTATTTGCACCTTTTTTTTTTTTTTTTTTTTTTTTTTTAATTTTATTGACTAACATGAACATTTTCAAAAAGTAGGGACTAATTCTGCACAAACCCTATATATCAGAGTTTTTTTTGCACTTAACCCTATTGAAATTCAATAAAGGAAATCTAATTACATAGGGAATATATGATATTAAAAAATTAAAATACTGAAATTCAATAATCAGCAGGGAAAAATTATATTCATATTAGAAGAAGCTCGAAGAAAAATCTTCTCTTTTAAATCTTGTTACAAGAAGAGAAAAGCAGGAAGATGCAGAAAAATAATTTTAAGAGAAAATACTCTTACGCAGCTCCTTGGCTGAGTGGCGTTGTTTTGGCGGCCACAGGTGCATGTTGGGCAGGGTACTATTGTGTCATTGTAGGAGGATGATAGAGAATCACATCAAGTTGGAGTTTTCTGAGCCAAAAATTGTGAATATGTGCATATAACATTCCAAGTCACTGCCAAGACAGAAAGATGGGATTATTATCCAATAAGTTTAAAGGTACCGGTCTAAATATCTTCATTAGCACCCTTTGGAGACAAAAAAAAAAAAAAAAAAAAAAAACAAAGAAGGAATTTTTCCCTTCGTCATGACAATATGACTGCTTATGGAACTTTTCTAAATATTGACACAAGTCTTAAAAAACACAAAATCCTTGCAATTGAAAATCAACAGCCATTTTGAAAGAATTTGTTCCCGAAATTATGATTGTTTAAATAACAACATTATAACATGCATTTCAGTTCAGGACACCATAAACTCAATGATGTATTGATCTTCCTAAGCTATAGTTTTAGATTACTTCCAGTAACAACGTTACTTTTAGATTAATCTGTTTTCTCAGCTATGAAATGACTGTATAATTGTGCAGGTTTGGCCTTCAAGCATGAAATAAACATTAATAAGTCTAACTGAAGTACTCTACAATCTCTGTCCGGTAACTTACTCATAGCTTGTGTGACTCTCCTTCCATCTTGGCTAACAAATCTGGTAGGTTTAACAATTTTTACAGGTCCACAAGTATAACCCGGTCCAGGTGCTTGCAAGGTGAAGTTCTTGGGCACACGAACTGTTTTGTTAGTGGTTCCAGCTGCACCCACACTAACCTGGAATGCGCTCGCACAATTGTTTGGATCTTGCCCGCATGAGTTGATTACTCCTCCCTTGCAGCAATTCGCAATTTGCTGGTTGTAAGGAGTTCCCGGCAATAAGTCCACAACCGTTGGATCCTTCTTGCAGGAATGCGGAATGTTCCCTTTGTATTTTGAACAATCTCCTTGCTCTGTAGTTTGGGCTCCCACCATGCTCCATATCACCTCCTCTTTTGCCCATGTCCATCCTAGCGTCCATCCTGGTGCTTGAATGCGACGATATTGCTGGAAGTTGAACATTGTGACAACAGCCTGTGCAATTTCCAGTAAGAAGCTGTTTAAATATTTAATGCAGGGAGGAAAGGTACCTTGAAGTATTGCTGCAAGTTTTGGACACGACTGAAGAATTATTTTTTTCTTTTTTAAAAATCCGAATTTTTGAATCAGTTTTTTAATGAGATCAAACATTCTAAGAGGTGCCCCTCTGACCTAATTAAAGCTAAAAAGAATTTTTGCAAATCCGAAGAAATTATCAACTACAATTGTCAAAAATAAAGCCACCTTTTTTTATCAACACTGGAAAATGAACTTCAGAAAATGATTACCATTTCATAGTAACAACAACAGCACCCATAACCATTTCATAGAATACAACTGATTAGCGCAGTTTCTTGTAAGAATTAACTAAATTCTAAATAAATTTGAAAGTATAATTCAAAAGGGAAAAAAGTCAGAAAACACGATTGAATACTAGTTTACTAGTACTTACAACATAGCCATCTGGAGTCCAGCTAATAACGTCCCATTTAATTGTAATATTTCCTTTTGGGTCAAGTGCATCATAGGCTTCTGAAAAACCAACCAGCAAGAAAGGTTAATTACTCTTTGTTCTAGATATTGTAAAACTTGTCTCCAGAGAAAATAGAAGCCCAAATTAATGTTAGGACACAGTTGAACAGAAAACCTATAAATCAAATTTCTTTTCATTGTGAAATTAATAACAAAAGTCCTTATAGAGCTAACAAGACACATAATAAACTTAGATCCCAGATCCAAAAATCCTTTATCTAAAAAAGATATCATTTCAAAAAATAAAAATTGTTCTTTGTTAGCAAGGCAGATGAAATGCCAAGCTCCTTAAATGCGGATTGTCCTTAATTATAATGTAAAATTTTGCGTTAATACTTTACATTTTCTAATTTGCAGCAACTTTTCCCTATCTACACCCAACTACAAAAATCATGGTGGGTTCGCAAAACATTAAAAATAAGAGTTTTTTTTTTTATTTTTTTTTATTTGGCACACTCAGCAAATAAATAGATTTAATTCACAACGAAATCTCAGTTTGACAATGATCATGTTTAAGAAATATAAGAAAGAACAAGATAAAGAGGGAATGTAGAAAAGAAGTGTGTTATCTATGTCTCCAATTCTGGAATTCCTAGAGACCCAATTCCTGGAAATTCAGGAGCTAAGTATTTGATTGCAACTTGAAATACATTTTTAACCAGGAATAAAGAAACAGAGTGAAAATTTCTTCTGGCCATTGGGCTACATCTGACGAAATAAATATTGGGAAAGAGAGAGTAGATCTAATTTAGGATTGACTTTTTCTCTGCGTCATAATAACAAACACAAAACCTTCTCTTTCAGGTTCAATTATTTCATCATCTACATTACAAAGTAAGTTAAAAGCTTAATCACCATGCACCCGAGAGAGAGAAATCAAGTTCTTACTAGTTCGGAATTTTCGTATAATTCATTTTAAAGAAAAGCTAAAATTAGAGCTAAATCTCAAGTTCAACTACTAAAATTCATTAAAATGAGCATCAAACAGAAATCCAAAACAACAAAAATGCCTGAAATGGATGACCGAAGGAACCCATTTCCTCATTTTCCAATTCCAACAGTCAGTTAGGCTTCAAGAAGCAGTATACACTAAAACGAGTCAAATCTTTGAAAGTACCCAAAACCCATTAACCACGCATCAATAAACAGCAACAAGACTCCAAATTTAGTAAGATTTAGAGATAGAAGAGACATCAATGTGCTAACCTGATGAACTAAAGCTGAAGCAAGAAAGCCAGAACACAAGAACACAGGTCCAAGTGGTGAACTTGATCACAGATCTGAAGCAGAATCCCATTTCTTGTTGCAAATGCTCAACTTTTCTTCGTTGGTTCCTGGTGACTGGCTTTTTCACACTCTCACATGGCAGGTTCGTTAGATTATTAGTAGGTAAGTGGACTTGATTGGTAAAGTGGACCAGTGCAGATTTGTGGCATTAATATAAGATTGCTATTTGTTAATAAATCAATGTTCTTGTTAACTAGACGCAGTTGTTCTATATTTATTATATATAACGAACCTTTTCGATTATATACACTATAATTATTGAAGAAGCTAAATTCATTCATTGACAGCTAAGTATTGCTGTAAACTACTGACAGTTAAATTAAAGCCGTGCTCAATGGGAGAAATAATATTAAAGACCTTTTGAAAAAATAATAATTAAAATATTAAAGAATTTGAACCCTAAATTGTTTCCTCTACTTTGCATTGTATAGAAGGGGAAAAAAATCCTCCAATTAGTCATGTAACGGTGGTGGTTAACCCACCTCCCTTACGTAGCCTTAAGTCACCAAGTTAAGAAAGGAATTTATATTTATTTTATTATATGTACAAATAGCACTCTATCATCTTATAGAGAGTATATCATTCTACAATTTAATTTTATTTAATTTTATCTTTTGACTGACATTAAAATAAAATAAAATCATATAATTATAGATTGGTATACTCCTACCTTCAAAATAGATTGAAATTACTCGATTTTCAAAACTATTCCAAATTTTGAAATTGCATAAAATTCGGTTGAATTGAAAAACTATAATTCTTGTTTCTCCAACGTCCGAATGGGAATAGGAATGGAATGAGAATGTGAATGGAATGGAATGGTCATTCTCATTCTATTGTTTGGTTATAAATATGAAATATGTAGGAATGGAATAATAATAACCATTCTAATGTTTGGTTGGACCGATTTAAAATTTAGAATGCAATAAATTTCTAATTGCTTGGTAACAAATAAATTAAATTAAAATAGCAAAATGATATTCTCTAATAATTTTTTAAAAATAAATGGTGGCAGTGGCGGTGGTGGACGGTGGAAAGCGATAGTAGTGTAGGTGGTAGTGTTGGAAGGCTGCGACAATGGCAATGGTGGAAATTGGTGGCAGCAGTGGTGGTGGAAGGTAGTAGTGGTGTTGGTGGAAGGCGGTGGCAGTAGTGTGGTGGTTGTGGTGGAAGGAGATAGTGGTGTGACTATAGTGGTGGTGGAAGGTAGTGGAAGTGGAGGCAATGGTGGTGGTGGAAGGTGGTGACAATGGTGGTGGTGGTGGTGGTGGAAGGCGGCAGCAGTGGTGGTAGTGGTGGCGGTGGCGGTGGTGAAAGGTGGTGGCGGTGGCGATGGTGGAAGGTAGTGATGGAAAGTGGTAGAAGGCGATGGCGGTGGTGGAAAGCGATGGCGGCTGCGGTGTAGGGCTATGGAGGTGACGGTGGTGGTGGTAGTGAAAGGCGGTAGCAGTGGTGGTAGAAGATGGTGGCAGTGGTGAAAGGCGATGGCGGCGGTGGTAGTGGAAGATGGTGAAAGGCAATGGCGGCGGTGGTAGTGGAAGGTGGTGGTGGAAGGTGATGGCGATAGCAGTGGTGAAAGGTGGTGGTGGTGGTGGTTGCGGCAAACGGTGGCGTTAGCGGTGGTGAAAGGCAGTGGCGGTGGTGGTGCTGGTGGTGAAAAGTGGTGGGCGATGGTGAAAGTCGGTGGTGGTAGAAGGCAATGGTGGTGGTGGTGGTGAAAGGCGGAGATGATTGTGGTGGAAGGTAATGGTGGTTTTTGGACTTAGAATATGAGGGTGTTTTGGGAAGTCGATTTTTTAAAATAAATTACTTGGGAATGGAATGGCCATTCCATAGGTTTTGTTGTGGAATGGATTTTCATTCATAGGAATGGATTTTCATTTCAATGGAATGGCTATTCCCACTTTTAAGTTGTACACTAAACAAAGGAATGGTTGGAATGGGCATTCCATTCTATTTCATTCATGCACACTAAACGTAGCATATTATCTTATGAAGAATATATCATTCTACAATTTAATTTTATCTTTTGACTGTGTAGACACTAAAATTTAGTGGGCTTTGGTTTTAACGAATGGACCCATTAAATATAGGCTTAATGTTTAAATAAATTATTTAATTTACCAGGCTTGGTCCACTTAAATTATTTAATTAGCCCAGCCCAGATAATTAAATGAAACGATAATTATTCCTAATAAAATATATTTTGAATAATTATCTTTAAGGATAATTATCACAATATAACCGGCCCGGCCCAGTTATAGTTTTATCCTTATCAGGAGATGACACGTGTCATCATCCTATTAATCCAAGAAGCCTATAAATAGAGGCTTGGAGGAAGCAAAAAGGGGGAGAGAATTCATAATTCAGAAGTCTACAAATTCAGACACAAATTCAGAATTCAGAAGTTCAGAGACTCAGAAATCCAGAGACTCAGAATTCAGATACAAATTCAGAATCGAAACCCAAAAGCGAAGAACATCAAGCACATCCAACAACGTGCCGTTCTTCATCAAATTCCACAGTGATTCAAGAACAAGCTCGTGCAGCCCTTGGATCCAACCAACCAAAAACAAGGAGATCGAATCAGAGGACCATTCTTTTTTTGTAAAAGATATTACAAAGGATTGTACTCCACATTCATAAATTAATAAAATTCTATTTTGCTCCATATTTTGTTTCTATTGCAGACTTACAAAATTTGTGTGTACAAATTTGTGGCATGCCCAGTGGGACCACCTTTGTCTCTCATCTCTTTCTCCTACCATCAAGTTTCTTCTCTATCAGATTCTATGACTCCCCCTAAGATTCAGACAGACAAGAAAGCCCAAAAGAACATCACTATTGCAAAGGTCGACGCTAAAGCCACCATGAAAAGTGGCACGAAGACCAAATTAAGCGATGGAAGTACCTTGACGGGCCCTGTGACACTTAGCAAGTCCCAGGCGATGGCGTCATTCAAACTTCAGCAAGATGTGGTGAAAACTAATCCTGCAACACCGGTGAACGTGAAAACTCAACATGTCAAAAACCTTGACATTGTTCCAGAGGAGGTTTCACCACCAGATTCACTTCGTTCTATCTATGATGCTCACTCTAGTGTCGGTTCACCCCCAGAGTCACCACGTCAGACATCGGAGCAATCAATCACTTCAAGGAACGTGGATTCTCAAGGCCTATCATACTCAGATGTGGTTGCTGCTATGATAACTGGAGCTGCTACGGTGGAGGAACAACTAGCAACTATAGCTCATTCCATTGAGAACCTCACAAAGACTATTGAAGAAAAGGACTTGCAAATTGCTACACTAATGAATAAATTGGAAGTTCAGACCTCCGGTGAAACACCAATGCCATCTGGGAATCGTGCAACTTTCACACCACCACCGTCTGGGAAACCTACATCTTCCACAGCAATACTAATGGAGAATCCTAATTCTACAGCACAAGGTACTCATAGGGAGAATCCCAAACAGACGCCGGTGACAGAACAAGCGACCAGTCAAAACCAGACGCCGGGGTTAGAACAGGCGACTGGTCAAACCAATCATACCTCTTCTTCAGTCTCTTCATTATCTGTAGAACAATTGCAAGATATGATAACGAATACAATCCGAGCTCAATATGGTGGTGTCTCACAGAGCACTCTTATGTACTCAAAGCCCTATACAAGGAGAATCGACAGTATGAGAATGCATGTAGGATACCAACCTCCGAAGATTCAGCAATTTGACGGAAAAGGTAACCCTAAGCAACACATTGCCCATTTTGTTGAGACTTGTAACAATGCCGGAACAGAGGGGGACTTACTAGTCAAACAGTTTGTCCGGTCCCTTAAAGGAAACGCGTTCGAGTGGTACACTGACCTAAAGTCAGAATCAATTGATAGTTGGGACCAGATGGAACGAGAATTCTTGAACAGGTTCTATAGCACTCGTCGTACCGTTAGTATGATAGAGTTGACTAACACGAAGCAATGGAAGGATGAGCCTGTAATCGACTACATTAATCGGTGGAGAGCCCTCAGTCTTGACTGCAAGGACTGTTTGTCAGAAGTATCTACTGTGGAGATGTGTATGCAGGGAATGCATTGGGGCCTGCTCTACATTCTGCAAGGCATAAAACCTCACACATTTGAGGAATTGGCTACGCGTGCCCATGACATGGAGATCAGTATGAAATCCCATGACGGCAAAAGTCCCGTGACTATAGAACCACGCAAAGATAAGAAGGACTGGAAGAAGGGCGACAAGTCATCAAAAAATGCGGCTAAAGATTCAATGGCTATCTTAACCACCCCAATCAAGATATCTGTTAAAGATGACAAGAAGGATGATAAAAAGCCTCGCCAGTTTCAAGAGAGGGAGAGACAGCGTCCTACGCTAAAGGAGTTAGAGAAGAAAGAATACCCCTTCCCCGATTCTGATGTTCCTGGCATCTTGGAATGTTTACTTGAAAGTAAAGTTATAGAACTCCCTGAATGCAAACGTCCTCCAGAGATGGGACGTATCAACGATCCAAAATACTGCAAATATCATCGCATTATCAGTCATCCAATTGAGAAGTGTTTTATCTTCAAAGAGGTGGTGATGAATCTGCCAAAACAAGGAAAAATCTTATTGGATACAGACGAAGTTGTAACTTCAAATCATACTACTGCTACTTTAACAACCTCTGTCGTGGGGAGTGCTCGTTCTCAACCTTTAACTTCAGAGGTATCTTGCACAACTATCCAGTTTGGTTCATTGGAACCAATCCCAATCTATATTGGCCAAGGGAGTGTACGTGACATTTCAACATTTGGAAGGGTTTTTCCTCAGGATGATGAAGAAGGATGGACTCTGGTGACAAGAAAGAAACCACGGAAGCAACAAGCTGATATTTTTCAGACTGATTATTCTGACAGAGGGCAAAGGAAGAAGAAACCCCAATATTACCATAAACAGTCTGGCCATAACAGAAAATGGGTCAAGAAGACACAGTAAACTAAACACACCTCTATAAGCAAAAAGAGTCAGAAGCCTATTACTTTGCAAGAGTTCTTTCCAAAAGGATACCTAAATGACGAAGTTGTAATAACTTACATGGTTTCAACTAAGAAAACAAGCCTTAATGATGAGAAGAATGAGGATCAAGATGAAGTCCAGACTGTAGAGAACCATAATACAGCCATCATTGAAAAATCTGATGATGATGAAGTGGTCAG